TCCACATATAGTATCATATCATCTGCAGAGAGTGAGAGTTTGACTTCTTTGCTGATTTGGATGTCTTTAATTTCTTTTTGTTGTCTGATTGCTGAGGCTGGGACTTCTAGTACTATGTTGAATAGCAGTGGTGATAATGGACATCCCTGCCGTGTTCCTGATGTTACGGAAAACCTCTCAGTTTTTCTCCATTGACAATGATATTTGTGGTGGGTTTTTCATGGATGTCTTTGATTATATTGAGGTATATGCCCTCTATCCCTACACTTTGAAGAATTTTGATCAGGAAGGGATGCTGTACTTTGTCAGATGCTTTTTCAGCATCTATTGGGAGTATCATATGGTCCTTGTTCTTTCTTTTATTAATGTATTGTATCACATTGATTTGCAGTTGTTGAACCAACCTTGCAGCCCTGGAATAAATCCCACTTGGTCGTGGTGAATAATCCTTTTAATGTACTGTTGGATCCTATTGGCTAGTATTTTGGTGAGAATTTTCGCATCTGTGTTCATCAAGGATATCGGTCTGTAGTTCTCTTTCTTGATGGGATCCTTGTCTGGTTTTGGGATCAAGGTGATGCTGGCCTCATAAAATGAGTTTGGAAGTTTTCCTTCCATTTCTATTTTTTGGAACAGTTTCAGGAGAATAGGAATTAATTCTTCTTTAAATGTTTGGTAGAATTCCCCTGGGAAGCCATCTGACCCTGGGCTCTTGTTTGTTGGGAGATTTTTGATGACTGCTTCAATCTCCTTACTGGTTATGGGTCTGTTCATGTTTTCTATTTCTTCTTGGTTCAGTTGTGATAGTTTATACGTCTCTAGGAATGCATCTGTTTCTTCCAGCTTGTCAAATTTGCTGGTATATAGTTGCTCATAATATGTTCTTATAATTGTTTGTATTTCTTTGGTGTTGGTTGTGATCTCTCCTCTTTCATTCATGATTTTATTGATTTGGGCCCTTTCTCTTTTCTTTTTGATAAGTCTGGCCTGGAGTTTATCAGTCTTATTAATTCTTTCAAAGAACCAGCTCCTAGTTTTGTTGATTTGTTCTATTGGTTTTTTTTATTTCTATTTCATTGATTTCTGCTCTGATCTTTATGATTTCTCTTCTCCTGCTGGGTTTAGGCTTTCTTTGTTATTCTTTCTCCAGCTCCTTTAGGTGTAGGGTCAGGTTGTATATTTGAGACCTTTCTTGTTTCTTGAGAAAGGCTTGTATCACTATATATTTTCCTCTCAGGACTGCCTTTGCTGTGTCCCACAGATTTTGAACTGTTGTGTTTTCATTATCATTTGTTTCCATGAATTTTTTTCAATTCTTCTTTAATTTCCTGGTTGACCCATTCATTCTTTAAAAGGATGCTGTTTAGTCTCCATGTATTTGGGTTCTTTCCAATTTTCCTCTTGTGATTGAGTTCTAGCTTCAGGGCATTGTGGTGTGAAAATATGCAGGGAATGATCCCAATCTTTTGATACCGGTTGAGACCTGATTTAGGACCCAGGATGTGATCTATTCTGGAGAATGTTCCATGTGTACTAGAGAAGAATGTGTATTCTGTTGTTTTGGGGTGGAATGATCTGAATATATCTGTTATGTCCATTTGGTCCAGTGTGTCATTTAAGGCCTTTATTTCCTTGTTGATCTTTTGCTTGGATGATCTGTCCATTTCAGTGAGGGGAGTGTTAAAGTCCCCTACTATTATTATATTATTTTTTGATGTGTTTCTTTGATTTTGTTATTAATTGGTTTTGGGGGTTGGCAGCTCCCATGTTAGGTACATAGATATTTAAAATTGTTAGATCTTCTTGTTGGACAGACCCTTTGAGTATGCTATAGTGTCCTTCCTCATCTCTTATTATAGTCTTTGGCCTAAAATCTAATTGATCTGATATAAGGATTGCCACCCCAGCTTTCTTTTGATGTCCATTAGCATGGTAAATTGTTATATCTTCTTTATCCATTCATTTATTGATGGATGCTTAAGGGTTTGTAACCTAATTTTATCACCTAATTAGCTCAGTGCAATAGTAGATGCTCAATAGATATTTTAATGAACATTTTCCATGTTATTAAATATTTTAAAGCATCATATTTTTTAAGGTTTCATAGTATATTTTTTTTAAGATTTTATTTATTTATTTGACAGAGATCACAAGTAGGCAGAGAGGCAGGCAGAGAGAGAGAGGGGGAAGCAGACTCCCCACTGAGCAGAGAGCCTGATATTGGGCTCGATCCCAGGACCCTGGGATCATGACCTGAGCCAAAGGCAGAGGCTTTAACCCACTGAGCCACCCAGGTGCCCCAAGATTTCATAGTATTTTTATTATATGGATATACTATAATTTACTTTACTGATCCTTCATTGTTCAGTATTTAGGCTATGTATTTATTCACTTAAGAATTTTCTGGCTTCATCTCTTTTCTCCTCCTATTCTTCACTTTAGTATTGTTGATTCACTTTTGAGGCTTTGAAAACATCTTCTCTTTAAGTTCAAACATTTATCTTGACATTCCTTTTGCTTATAACACACTTCCATCTTTGTCTAGCTAATATACATTTTTCAGACTTAAACTTAGTTATTCCTTCTTCTTGGAAGTTTTCCAAGTTTGGACTAGTTGCCCTCCACAGTGTGCTTCATAGGTGGCATTTTGTACTTATTCCTAGAACCACTCAGTCTGCTGTATTTTAAGTGCATGCTTTCTTAAGTGGATCTTCCAGGAGACTATAAACTCCTCAGGAAAGAGACTATGTCTTATTCTCCGTTTTATATCCAAGCCTTAAGTGCAGTGCTTGGTATATAGCAGGAACTTACTATTTTTTGGATGAATGGATGAATGCATGAAACATCCCCCACTTTCCAATATGTATCATTAAGTGGTGACATTTACCAATCTCATGTTTTTGATTTATCAGATTAGCATAATAAATAATCTTTTATTTGTAAAGTGCTTATCATATGCAAAATACTTTCAAAACTATTATTTCATATTATTGTTGAATCACTATATTGTATACCTGAAACTAATATAACACTGTATGTTAACTGTAATGAAATAAAAAAAGAAAATCTGGGACGCCTGGGTGGCTCAGTTGGTTAAGCGGCTGCCTTCGGCTCAGGTCATGATCCCAGCGTCCTGGGATCGAGTCCCACATCGGGCTCCTTGCTCGGCAGGGAGCCTGCTTCTCCCTCTGCCTGCCTCTCTGTCTGCCTGTGCTTGCTCACTCTCTCTCCCTCTGTCTCTGACAAATAAATAAATTAATTAATTAATTTAAAAAAAAAAGAAAATCTGTTATTTCGTATTGTTAAACTTTGACTAATTGTTAATGTTTTACATTATCAAATGAATCAATCTGTTGGTTAAATACTATATTAGTCTTTATTGATAGTTAAGTGATAATTCTCATCGTCTTTGTGGCCTTAAATTTTCTAAGTAGATAAATTGCTCTCTAAGCAAATTTCAGTTAATAGAAGTTATTTTCTATTTATATTTTAAATCCATCTTAAGTAATAATTAACCATTAACTCTTTTTTTTAAAAGTCTCCTTCCCAATCCCTAGTCATTAACTCTTATGGGAGTTTTGTAATTATGGTTTTAATTGATTTAAAACGATACATGAAGATAAATAATGGCTCGCCCTTTTAAAATTTTTTAATAATTGGACTTTGATCAGTTAACAAGAAGAGTAACCATTCAACAAATCCTTGGACAGAGATCAGAGAACCAGTAGCACAAAGAAAATATAAGATAATAGAAATGAATTCTCTCCACAGGTATCTGTGTTGTCATTAAGTGACAATTTCTTTTCCTTTGATGGTATTGATAACTCTTTACAGCAGTGATTCCCTCTGGGACATAGCATACACTCAGGGGTGAGGGTGGTTTGCCCTCTCTCCATGCATCAGCAGTCACTTCCACCTGTGGTGAGAGTGGTTGAAGACCAGGTATGTGAAGGTGGACACAGGCTGAAAGCAGTGTTTTGCAGGAAGACCAAGCAGAACTTCATCAGAAAAAGTCATAGTGGAAGGGAAGCTGGTTTTGGAGTCTGCAGATCAGTATTGTGGCCTCCTATTGAAGAATTGTGTGGAATTAGGCAGGTAGTTTATTTCACCTCTCTTCATCTTCATCTTCCTTTCTATAAAACAGTGATTGGATCAGCTGATCTTTGAGCTCATTTTTAGAAATGATCTCCTGATTTTTCTGATGATCAGACATCAGAGAGAGTCTTGTTCTTGAAAGAAGACATGTATGAGTGAAAAGTGGGATTATTTATTTGTCTAAAATGTTATGTGAATTTAACAGGTTATTAATATCATGCCTTTAAAAAGCCCTTCAAATGAATCTTCAAAAAGTACCTTCAGATTGCTGGCAGTTTTTCATTATCTCAGAAAAAGGAAATCCTGGAGAACTCTTTTCTATACTCAAGCTCTTGAATCTAGGACAGTGATCTCATCTGTCCTCATTGTTTTAAATATCATCTCGGTGCTGACGACTTACAACTTGATATCTGCAATGTGCACTGTTCCCCTGAAATTACCTGCCAATTTACTGGTCCTCTGAGATAGCTAATGGGCATCTCACACTAAATCTGCCTAAAACTGAATTCCTGAAGCACTCTCCCCCCAAACCGCTCTTCTTAAAGTCTTCCATATCTTATCAAGACAGAAACCTTGGAGTCATCCTTGATTTATAATACTAAACCATCAGTTTATTAGCAAATGCTTTTGGTTTAGCTTTCAGAATATAATTGGGAACTGCCCATTCCTCACCAGCCCTCCTTCCTACTGCCCTTTCTCCACCAGAGTCTATGCCTAATCAAGAGCTAGAGCATTTGTTTTTAAGTTATAAGTCACGTCTTTGTTACTCCTCCACACACAACCTTCAGTGGCTCCCCACCTCCCTTAGAGTAAAGTCAGAGTCTTTATAACAGTCAACAAAGTCCAATGTGATCTGGTGCTCCAGTACTTCTCATTTCATACTGTCTCTCTTACTTTTTTTTCAGACAGTTGGCCACCTTACTATTGACAGAACATTCCAGGTACACTCCCTCCTCAGAGCCTTTGCACGGGCTGACCCCCCTGCCTCAGATACTCCACAGATATTCAAACACCTGCCCTCTTAACTCCTCCCAGTTGCTTCTATGTAACCATCTGGTTTAAGGTCTAACTTTACTGTCTGATTTAAAATTGCGCTCTGCTTCCATGCCCCCCACCGATTTCACACTTAATTTTCCTCCATGGTACATAGCGCCTTCTAATATACTGTAATTTACTTACTTATTTTGTTTATTGTCTGTCTCCCTTTTCTAGAACAGGGACTTTTGTGGTAGTCAGGGACTTCTGTCTGTTGGGTTCACTGCCATATCACTGGCTTTGTAATATTTGGCAAATAACTTACAATCTCTTTTCCCATCTCTAAAGATAATAAGTGGTTATATGTATTTTTTTTCTTAAGATTTTATTTATTTATTTGACAGACAGGGATCACAAGTAGGCAGAGAGAGAGGAAGGGAAGCAGGCTCCCCTCCGAGGAGAGAGCCCAACGCAGGGCTTGATCCCAGCACCCTGGGATCATGACCCAAGCCAAAGGCAGAGGCTTTAACCCACTGAGCCACCCAGGCACCCCAGTGGTTGTATATTTTATAGATATTATTTTGGCTAGATATTTTTCAGTGAGTTTATATTTAGGCAGGTGAAATCATGAGAATTCTATAGCTCATTTCACAAACTACGAGCAATAACATATCCATATCAGAGGTTCTTGTCTCAGGATGGGGACCCCATTTGGCCAAGGAAGCTACAGCCCTCCTTCCTGCCCTGCCTGCCCGCCTGTGTTGAGAATGGCTTCATCGGCCGTCTTCCTGTCCTTTTCTCATTGGTGCTTTTTTCCCTTTCTCTCTTTTATCCTTCCTCTCTCTCTATCCCTCCTTCCCTTTCTTCCCTTTTCTTTCTTTCCAAGATTTTATTTATTTATTTGAGAGAGAGCGTGCACAAGCTAGAGGAGCAGCAGGCAGAGGGAGAAGCAAAAGGGAGCCTGATGAAGAACTCGAGCCCAGGACCCTGGGATTATGACTGATTTAAAGGCAGACTGAACCGACTGAGCCACCCAGGCGGCCCTCATTGCTGCTTTTCATAGCTAGCTTTGGACCTCCACGTTGCTGGTGTGTCCTCCCACTTGGGGCTCAGAGGTTTACAGGGTAAGCATGGGACTGAGACCACTTTTATATTGAATTTTCAATTTAAATAGTCGCTTGTGGCCTGCAGTTGGAACCTTTCATAGCTTTTTTATAGAAAAAATTAATTTCTAGTTGTGAGACTGCATTGAAAAACTTCAGAATGTAACCCATTAAAAAATTAGGAGATAACTTTTAGAACGGCATTTCAGTTGCTGTGTAGGGAAGATGTTGAGGAAAGAGGCAAGGTTAAAATATCCTCATAGTCCAGCTGATCCTGAGAGCATACTTACTATGTATTTAAGCCTTTAAAAAATGTAAGTCTGTGTTCTTTCTTGGTATATATTTGCTTTATAAAGATGAATTATATCGAGACAATAGGCAGGTACTTATTTTGAGAACTTAATGTTATTGCTGCATTACACTACTCTGTGTAGCAGAAAGGTAATTTAATCCCTAAAAAATGTGTTCTCTACTTCTCTGTTTTGACATAGATAAAAATGAGTATTGAGGTGGTGGCTGTGACTGGATTAGAACCAGAAGGAACTGGCAGTTGGTTGTTAGTAGCTGTCCTTGCCCTGACTTCTTAGGTTGTGCTTTTCTGTTTGTTGTTTTCAGTTTAGCACAGAAGCTTTTTGCTTCAGAAATAATGAGGTGTGAACTATTCAGAATGAACTAGTTTCACATAAGAGCAACTTTAGTAGCATGGGGGCTGAGGGAAACATTTCATGTATCCTGGCAGTTTGGGTGCCTTTTGTGCCATGTCTTATTTGCACTTGTTTGAGGGAAGGTTGTAGAAAGAGCAGGCCTGCCTTCTCTGCTGGAACCCCCAGAGGGTTAGGCTGCCTTCTGACCTCCTCCCTTGGCCCGCCACCCTCATGGTATGGTCTGTGGTCACGAGTGTCCCTGCTTTTAAACTTTCTGTTCCTGGCTTTCCTTCTGTTGCCCTTGACTCCCTGTGAATAGAGCTGTTCAGTGGTTATGTCCATGGCCTTTGAGGCAGACCAGAGTTTGAGTTCTTGTTTCCATTGCTAACTTAATCTCTAATCATTTTATTTACTCTCAGCTGTTTCTTCTCTAGAATTGAGAGAGGGTAATATATATAATATCTATTTAATACTACTGGATGAGAATGAAGTAGATAATGTATGAAAATATTTATGTGTATAGACCCTTGCACACATAAATGAGTTCAACAGATGTTAGTTAGCTATTACTATAAAAATCTACTTTAAGCTATATTTTCCTTTATTCAGTCCTTCAACAAGAATATAAAAGCATGTGAAAAACTGTCCATGCTATCTGCTGGGTTTTGAGAATATAGCAGTGACCAAAGCAGATATGGCCTAGACCACACTGAGTCCAGTGGGAAACATGTTGTTTGTGCCTTGGAACTTGTCAATTATTAGAAGAAAACTTTGACCCGATTTAAGGTGGGAAAAGAAATTTAAATTGAAACATGGATTAAGTTTTAAATTGAGAGCTTAATAAAAAAAAAACCTCTGAAGTTTAAAAAAAAAAAAAGACTCAGGAAAATCAGTGTAGTTTTCCAGAATTTTGAATAGAAGTGCTTCTACAAGCTGACAGATTTGCCTATAAAGACAATTAGTAGGTCAGCACTAGACAAATAAGAAAGGGAGTAGAAAGAAATAAGGTCTGTGAAGTAGACTGGAGCAAGTCCATGGAGGTTAACAAAAAAAAAGTAAAACAAGGAGAGCAATTGTGAACTGGAAAGTGATGTCGGTAATTTTCCAGTACAGAAGCCATAACTTCTGGTGGAAGAGTCAGGATTTTAACAACTGGTTTTGAAAGAAATAGGATTTGGTTTAGAAATAAAAGTCTCAAAAAAAAAAAACACGAAATAAAAGTCTCTGCTATTAAACGTGATGATTATACTCATGTTTTGGTAGCCTATTTGTTTCAATATCAGAAAATAATATATAAGAGTATGCTATTAACTGTAAGTAGTACAGTTCTTATACTGTAGTAAAATTTATTATAGTGAACAGGTTGAGCATGTTGATATGTATACTTGGAAAAGTCTTTTTTTTTTTTTTAAGCTTATTTATTTAAGTGATCTCTATACCCAGTGTGGGGCTTGAACTTATGACTGCAAGACCGAGAGCCACATGCTCCTCTGACAGTACCCCTACCTGGAAAAATCTTAATGCAAAATTTTTCATCTAATTTCCTATTTTCTCTTTAAAATCAGGCAATTTTAGACACAAGTATCTATCAACTAATGAATAGATGAATAAAATGTGGTACATTCATTCTCTGTAACATTATTTGGGAATAGAAAGAAATGAAGTACTAATACATGGTACAACGTGCATGTGGCCTGAATGAGGGGCTAAGTGCGAGAAACCAGTCACAGAAGATCACATATTGTATGCTTCCATTTATTTGAAACATCCAGAATAGGTAAATCTCTAGAGACAGAAAGTGGATTAATGATTGTCTAGAAGAGGGAGAGAGGATAGGATTGGGGGAAAATGGAGAGTAACCGCTGATGGATAGGGGGTTTCTTTTTGGGGTGATGAAAATGTTCTAAAATTGTGGTCATGGCTGCATCACTCAGTAAATATACTAAAACCCACAACTGTGGACTTTAAATGGGTAATTGTATAGTATGTAATTGTATCTTAAGAAATCTGTTCATTTTTTAAGAATGAAGCAATTTAAAGAATTCTTGACTTTGAAAACAGAAGAGATCCTTCACACAGAGCTGGATTCTCTCTAAGTCAAAAGACACCAATTCCAGTGCATGTTAGAGTGGTACTTCTTAAATGCAGAATGCACAGGGTCACTTAGGGTTTGTTATAATGTGGGGTACTATATCCTTCCCTATAAATTCTTATTCAGCGGGACTGGGAAGGCCTTGGGACTCTGACTTGTAACACGCATCCCAATGAAAAGATGTTCTTTGAATCAAGTTGAGAACTGCTGTGGTAGAGGGTTCTATTAGAATACTTTCCTTGGGGCGCCTGGGTGGCTTAGTGGGTTAAAGCCTCTGCCTTCGGCTTAGGTCATGATCCCAGGGTCCTGGGATCAAGCCCCGCATTGGGCTTTCTGCTCAGTGGGGAGCCTGCTCCCCCCACCCTCTGCCTGCCTCTCTGACTACTTGTGATCTCTGTCAGATAAATAAATAAAACCTTAAAAAAAAAAAAGAATACTTTCCTGGGCTTGTTGATTCTGTTTTATTTTTATTCGGTTGCTTTGGCTGCCTTATTAGTACTAAGGTAAATATTTAGCAATTTATTTAGAGTTTGAAATTATATTGGAACCACTCTAGCATTGTCTCATTATAGACTGGGTAGCTGAAACCAGAGAGATTAAGTTTTTTTCTTAAGAATCTTAGAGCTACTAAGTGGGAGAATTGGAATCCAGATATAGGTCTGCTTGTGCCCAATCCAGCACTCTTCCTACTTTGTCACATCATCTCTCAGAATCTTATTTTATATGTGATAATCCTTACCATTGCATGACTGCCACAGGCTTAGGTGCTACCTACTTTTTAGGGGCTCTGCCTGTCCATGTGACTTTCAGGCTGTGTGACTTGGAGCAAATTACTTAACCTCTCTGTGCTTCAGTTTCTTTATCAGAAGGAAGTAGGGTAAGAATAATACCTATGATAGAATTATTGTGAGAATTTAATGATACCCATACATTTGAAATACTTGGCACAGTCACTGACACATAGTTCATGTTCAGTAAATGTTAGCTGTCATTTCTAATTAATTTTAATGAAGAACTGGATGTAATGTCATGTCTGTGCATAAGGGGAAAGCAATTTCATGTTGTGTTAGAGAGGCAGGCTTTGAAGTCCGTTTCCTAGGTTTGCGTCGTGGCTCCATTTCTCATAC